ATTTGCTGTGCTTTTCTGGGCGAGTGTAGAAAACAATGCATGAATGTATTTTTCTAGAACATTTGATACAAAACAATTCGATTTCAATATCAGATTCATATTAGTGAAAGTCATATAATGAATAATTAATTATATATTTGAAAAATTACCTAAGTTATTTAATGCTTCAAAAAGTGATCTGTTAGAGAAATTCGATGTGATTATACTGATTACCGTGTCATCATTTGATACTGATATTCGCTAACAGAGTGAGAAAAATAGAGACAAGATCACCAATCATATTTAGCAAATTACAATTGATTGAGGAATTGAAAACTCTATTCAAAGCTTTCTTGGGCTTTTCAGTCATGGTTTCTTATCCGTAATTTCATATTTGTTCAATGAAAAACGCGTATTTATTTCGTCAGAACATAAACATTTTCTGAAAATTTGAGAATTGATTGAAAATCCTTTTGTCGATTAAACAGAATGTGACATGGTACGGCAAGAAGTATTATTGCCATAGTTTGGCTAGATTGATTGATGTCAAAAAGTGGCTTTCAAGAATAGATATAAGCTTGAAGATGTAGCTATCAGAATGGAGATAAGTAGAAAAATTATTAGAGCGAACTTTGACAGCCAACTGCTAAGGCGAATGTACTTTTCCATGTTGAATATGTGTGACTCATAAACGTTATTTAAAACTTTCAATTTAATATTAAACAATAAATTTTCTATGACTGATTCTGTATTTATTGACAGTTTTTGATCAAGTGTTGATTTATTGCTGTTCTTAATATTTTTGATTCAAACAATCGAGATCTTGAACAATGAATTTGTCAAAAACTGCAAGCACACATGGTGATGATGATCGATAAGTATTGTTTTGGAATTTCACTTAAGGTCATAACCAAAACCCTTAGCAATGAATGAAGTTTATTGATGAAACTGTGTAATGAAGTATGCTCATGGTCGATAATCCATTGCGGATATGAATTTATGTATGTATGTGAGAACTTTTTGGCGTGTGTGTGGATCGGTTGGTCGATGATATCCATTAACGGAGGCCACACATCAGCAGCAAAAACTAAACCCACCCCTACACCTAGCAAGCATATTCACACCAATACTTACGCCTTTCAGATGATCTTGCAGTCTAACAATTTTATTATCTTCTTTCCTCGAATGTTTTCGTTCTTTTCATCAGTGTTGTTTATATGCTAGTATCTTTTTTCTTTTCAATAGTTCAATTGGTGACAGAAATAATCCTCTTAACTTAATATTGATAAATTTCGATGTATAAATAATAATGAATTTAGTTTACTAAAATGCACCTCCTATCAAAATCTTACTGGCTGACAAAAGCTAATCCTTGTGAGTAATATTTTTCTCAAAATGCGAAAAATGAAATCGTAATAGGAATTCTGAAAGTTTTACGAAAACGGAAATCTAAAAAATTCGTTCTCGCAGAAAACTACGCTTTCCATCCACATTTCTTCTGGTGCTCGATCGTTTATTGAGATTGTGGTGTTATGAGGTCATTGGTTTATGAACCATATCTTTGTCTATGAAAGCTTCTGTTTGTACCAAGCATAAAATTGCACAATGCAAACGCTCATTTCAACAGCAAGACAATATCAGAAAAACATTGAAAAACAGACAACTACATGGAATACTCTGGCATCCTGAAGTAGTAGTTAGCGACATGAACCATAGCAAAGATCTAGAACCAGGGCCTTTTTAATTTAGAATCATTCTGACTTTGTTAAATTCAGCATAGTTTGATAACTTTTCTCTCGGAAGAAAAAGAGGAGTAAACATTATTAGCGCAATCAAAACCGTTAACTCTTCTAATCAATAGTCTTGAAATCGCTAAAGAACGTAATAGTGAAGAGAGTACTGAAGACAAAGCATTTCAAAGCCGATTGACTATCGATTTATGGTCTCACTTGAACTTGACTAGGGCTACGTTGAAATGGACGTTATCATCGATTGAGAAGGAGAATTCATTGCATACAAGAAACTCAACTGGATTTTCATGGAAAAAAGAACAATAAAGACACATTATCATTTCCCAAAAACTGAATATTTTAGTAGCGTTATACTTTTGAAATATTCCGTGAAAAACGATAGATAGAGATATTCGTGTTTTTCATGAAATAACTTGATTGCACGATTCGAATATATAATATAAATAGTATTTGATAATATTGAATATTGGCTATGGCAGATTAACAAGGAATAGAAAGGAACTTATCGTTATATAAAAAATCGATTATACACTACTTGACAAAAGTATCGCCCCCCCCCCCCCCCAAATCCCAGCCCCTACAAGAGCCAAGCGGCGGGAAAGTAGTTTGCAGGCAGCCCACTA